AGCTTCGTTTCGACGGGCTCCGGCTTGACGGCCATGAGTCCTCCTGTTCGGATATATGAGACTTCATCGCCAAGGAGAACGATAACCCCAAGCCGGCGCAGACCTTGTGGCAGATCCTGCTCGGCCTCTGTCTTGACAGAAACCAAGGGTCCTGGAACAGCGGCAGCAGATCAGACTACCCAACTGCTCAAACAACATCTCACCCAGCACTCCGTCCTTCCGAAGCGGCAGGTGGAGCATGGTCCTTGCTCTCAGTCTTGACTGCTGCACCTGTCAGGAGCAACAGTCCGACGAAATTTGCAGAAGCAGCGAGGACCTCCACCGCCACTGTCAAACAGCGACGACTCTCCAGGCTCTGAGACCGCCTGCTCGAATCTTCCTGCCGAGAGGCAAGAATTTGCAGGCAATGAAAGACAGGCAACCAAAGATTCCAGATTCCAGTTCCCGCCTGCAAGATTAAGTGCAACTTTCTTTCGCTCGGAGAGGATGTCATCCTGTCCGTTGTATCTACATCACAGAGTTGCATATGAATGGGTGAACTGAACTATGAACTTTGCGACTCTTCCAAAGCCAGCATATGCTAGTGATAAGGAATTAGACCTGAGCTGCCTTCCAACCCAAGCACATTCGTCTCTACGACTACTCTAAGTGAACTAGTGCTTCCAACACAAGAAGAAACCGGCCTTGCAGTCGTGCAAGTGCTGCAGTAGAGAGTCGATATTCCGACGACCAGCAAAGGTCATCGCCTTTGAGAGTTCCTGAGCCTGGTTGCCGAAATGCTCCACACCATAATGTGGATAAGCCTGGAAGGCTTGATCAAAGAATTCCTCGAGAGAAACCTCGCAGGCTGCCATGACAACGATTTGAATTAAAATGAACTGAATCTCACGTGTGGTCCGGCTAGAATCTCGCTCAAGTGGGCTGGCATTGTTCTTGTGCGATTCTCGCATAGAAAAATTCCTCATGCCTTCCACGATGCTACAGTTCACAGGTCGAGGATATTAAGGGTTCGTCGCCCACATTCCCCGATCGCAGGCCAGCCAAAACTCCAAAGCTGTCACTATTGCTCAAGTCCAACGAAATTTAATTTCCTGGGACTTGGAAATTTGTAATATGCGGCCTCGAAACATCCAGGCCATCTGCCATCAAAATCTGCCCGAACAAAGCACGATCCGAAGGCTGTCGCAAAAACTTGATCACATGCGACTCCACAGAAGTCAACCACTCGGGGCCCGCATCTGCATTGGACATGCCCGTCCTGAAACCGTCCTGCCAAGGATGCGGGGACTGGTAGGGGTCGTGGTGCTTTAACCAAAGCCACCTAGCACTTCAGATATGGGGCTTGCACACACCTCCACAAACCCGGATTTGGGCTCCACTTTGAGGGTCAAGAATGGTGCAGTAAGCAAATTCGCAAGCACAGCAGGTACGGGGGGTCTGGTGCTTTAACCAAAGCCGCCTGGTTGGATCCAAAAGTAGGGGACTTGGAGGGTTCACAAGAAGAGGCATTCATTAGTCCCTAATCACCGGCCTGATTGAGTATATCCGACTGGGCTCTGACTTGAAACCTCATTTCTGCTCAGTAGTCTAGCAGCAGCAGGCTAGCAAGACCGGGCCTTGCCGAAAGCGCCAGAAAGCTGACTGTCGTTGTCATTGGGATCCTCCTTGGACGGTGCCCGACTCGCCGGGCCACGTCGCTGGAACCGCTTGTCAAAGAGATCCGCATCATCATCTGAGTCTTCTGAAGCAGCTTCCTTAGCCTCCGTCTTGGCCCGGAACTCGCGACTAGGGCGGGCCTCCAAATCATCACCTGTTCGCGACCCGGATCCGGGCGCATTTGTCCGCCCGTCCGACACTGGACCCTCGTTGACCCTTGGCTTCTTCCGAGGGGCCGGAGACGACCCGTTCAGAGTTGTCATCTCTTTTTCAACGAGACCCTGCCACTCAACAAGCTTCTGAGTCAGAGCCTTCTCCCTCTCCTGCCGCTTCGCTGCATCCACACTGGCCCATTCGGAACGAACGAGCCTTAGGAACAGAGAACATGGAGTTTCAACAAATCAAAAGCCCAACACAACCTGCCACCATGGTTGTAAAACAGTTCTAGCCAGTCTGTGCCAGGGCACTGCTGCAAGCTGATCAAGTGTGCATGCTGACGAATGACCAGCAGTTCGTTGATTTGTCCGTCTGCAATGCACAAACATGAAACTGAAACATCTCTAAAAAGACTCTGACACAAGGAGGACTCTCCACAAAGAACAATGAGCAAGCCTGTGACCGTCGATAGAATCTCCAGCAATCTGGATTTCCACAATCTCTCAGCTCCGTTCTCACGTTTCATCATGTCCAGCTTTTCTTGCATGTGGGCATCCGAAGTCTTAATGGACTGCTGCTTCCATTGTGTTGTCAATGACTGCCGAGCCTGCAGGGGGAGGGCTCATGATCTTGAACGAAGAATTCAGAATACACTTTGACAGTTTGGCGGGACTCAGGAAATCAAACATATCTCTGCATGGGTGGATGACATCTGAACCGACAAGGGGTGGATGATCGCCTGAAGGATTTCTCCGCCGATCTTGAGGAGTTGAAGAGGAGTGAGTCGGGGCATGAGGCCCGAAATCACAGCTGCGAGCTGTGCAGCCGACAGGTCTCGAAGATGAAGCTGGGCTCGCTTCACCTGGAGAAGCTTGGGCTTCCTCAGCAAAAGCATAAAGAGACGACGTGGGCAGCTTACAAGATGTCAAGCGATGTCCATGTCTGAGCACTTGCCAAAGTTTACAACATGACTTTAAGTGAGATGTAGCAGGCAAGTATCAAGCCGAAAGCAAGAGCCACACTCTCCAGCTGCTGTTTCTCTTGCTCCTGCTGCCCGGGGTCCTCCTCGGCACCTGAAGCCGAAGAACCAGAGCCCTGTTCCGAAGCCTCCTGGGAAGAAGAAGCTTTCTTCTCCTTCTTGACCTTTTCCCTCACATCCGCCTTGGATTTTTCTTTCTTCACCTCCTTGCCACAGCTCCTTGGCTCGCCCTTCTTAGCACGCTTCGCCGTTTCCTTTTCACAGGGTTTCTTGCTTCGCCCCATTGCCCATGAATCGATGATTCTGCTTCTTGGCAGAAGTACCCCGAGCAACTAACAGAAGAGCCGCTGACAACAGGCATGACACCTGAACTTGATGTGTGCACATGTGCACAGGTCTAACTGCTGCAATCCACAACTGAATTACTTTTTGGGCTGCTCACCAGGGCCGGCGATACAAGTTCGCCGCAAAAGTCACGACTGGTTTACATCAGCACTCTGCTTGCAAAGCAAATCTAGCTCCACTATGCCAAGGCCATGGGATGTCAATGAAGTCCACGATCACAGTATCATCGCCGAAGGAAAGCCACATGCACGAACGAAATCGCCAGCAGCTCCTCGGTATCAGAACCCTCTAACTAACTCCTGGAGTGGGAAAGTTTAAACCGCTTCTGACTTCGCAGCCCCGCTTGGCTGAGGATGTAGGTTTTGAAGGGTACAAAGGATTGAGGCACTTCAGAGACACCTGGTTTCGAGGGTTTCGGCTGTATGGTGTAGGGTGCATTTATTTATAGGAATGGGGGTCAAGGGCTTTTATATAATAAGGTTTAGAAATTCTAGGGTGTAGGGTTCAATCCTTAAGTCTAAGTTTGTGTGAAGGATACAGTCGCCGGTAGCGCCATTGGCAATTGGGAAATCCTAAGCCCTAAAGACAAGCTAAACCCTAAACCCAAAAGCATCTAAACCCTAAGCTCGACACCCCAAACCTGAACCCCCAGACCCTAAGAAAGCTTAAACCCTACACTCGAAACCCCATAAACCCTAACCCCTGCATCCTATAAGACTATAATACCCTACACCCTCAGCCCTTCTAAACCCCTAAACCCGTAACTTACCCATTGCTCCATAAACTGTAGACCTCTGACACAAAAGCCAAAGCCCGAACCCTGTGGGCTTTAGGCTTCGGGGCTTAGGGAAATTACGGGAGTTCCGAAGTTTGTTTCCGAACAATCCCTAACCCGCACACGAAACCACATCCCTAGGAGTCTCGATTCCACAAACTCCAAGCAGAAGAACCAAACCCTCACGAACCCCGGCCCTTTAACCCCACCCCTGAAAGACACCAGTGGGCCACGATTCGCCAGCCCACCGCAGCAGAGGCGACCTGCACAGGCGGATGCATCCCCAACAGAAGCTGTTGCAACTTGACAATAGGCTGTGTGTCTTATGTCGGGTGGGAG